GTCTCGAAAGCCAAGATCACAGCAGATCCAGCGTCTGCCTCACAGATCACACCTTGCGGCTGTGTTCCGACCTGGCGGAAGGGGTGAAGGTCCCCGTCAGGCCTCTTTAATGCGGGTGCTAACCCAATCCATGAGGGCTTCTCCCTTGTGGCCTGACCACCTCCCGCGGGCTTTCCCTTTAGCCCTGCCACCTTGAGGGTTAGGATTTCAATATATGAATTTGGAAGACACACAAACATTTAGACTATGGCAGAAGGTAAAGGCAGATGACGTCCTACACACGGGCACATGCACAGTGTCGACGGTGAGCTTTATAGGCTGTGTAAGGAGCTTGGCTTTTACCCTGAGAGAACTGAGCCATCTGGAGGGTGTTGAACAAAACAGAGACATGGTTTATATTTGTAAAGGATCCCTTTGGCCTCTGCATTGAGAATAAAGCAGAAGGGGCCAAGTTAGATGTTTAATGCAATAATCCAGGTCAGGTACAAGAGGGCCTGGAGCAGGATGGGGGTAGGAGGAGCGATGAGGAACAGTGGGATTCTGGGAATGTTTTCTGAGGGGCGCCAAGAGCATTTCCCGATTGAATACATTGTCTCAAGTTCCCAGAGACTGCTTTTGTTGATGTGCAGTAGAAGCCCTCTTTTTACACTGTGCACCTAAAAGGATCAAGCTCTATTCATTCTCCTGTAAACTCAGTGTACAAGACGCCCAGCCTTTGTGGCCAAGAGTCTCCTCCCTACCATGCCCGGCCCTCACCGTCCCCAACTCTTATTCCCAGCAAGTGGGAGTTGCGAATTCTTTCCAAAACTATACGCCACTTTTACTTTCAATAATTAGATTGATTAATGTAATGGAGGCTACCTGAACATTTCAAAGTTCGAAATTTGAAGTTTGAGTTTGAAAACAAAGAATGAAAGGCCTTGTAAAGGTTGTTCAATGTGACTCTTAAAAAACTACTGCTGACTTTCCACTCTGTTGTTTCCCTACGTCGGCTTTTTAATTCAGCATGATCCCATTTGCTGATTCTTGGCACTATTTCTTGTGCAATTGGGATCCTGTTTAGAAAGTCCTTGGCTATGCCTGTCTTAAGGAGTTTTACCTATTTTATCTTCTAGTAGATTGTTTTAATATTTACATCTTTGTTCCATTTTCATTTTAATACTAGGTTCAATATTCTGCATGTTGATAACCTGTCTTCCTTTCCTAGTGCCATTTATTAAATTTTATTAAATATTTTATTAGATTTATTAGATTTACTACAGCTGTACTCCAGTGTGCTTTGGGTCCCTTTGTCAAAGCTCAGATAGCCAAATATGCCAGGGCTTGTTTCCACATCCTCTATTCTGTTTCATTGATCCGTATGTCTGTTTTTGTGCCAGTACCATGCCATTTTTATCATGGTAGTTTTGTAATATAATTTGAAGTCCAGGACTATGATGCCTCCTGCTTTGCTCTTATTGCTCAGGATGATTTTTGCTATTCTGGGTCTCTTCTGGTTCCATGTGAATTCTTAGAGGACTTTTTTCTCTAGTTCTGTGAAGAATCCTATCAGTATTTTGCCTGGGATTGCATTAAATCTGCATATCAGATTTGGAAGTATGGCCGTTTTCACAGTATTATTTCTGCCTACTCAGGGACAGGTAATATCTTTCCAAGTTCTTCTATCCTATTCTATCTCCTCGTATGGAACAAAGATTTTTGCCAGCTATTTCTCAGACAGAGGACTAATGTCTAGAATATAGATTCTAGACATATAAAAATGAGACCCCCCCTCAAAATAAAAGACCCAATTATAAAATGGGCAACTGGAATGAACAGACTTCTTAAAAGAAGTACAGATGGCCAATAAACACATGGAAAAATTTAAACATTGCTGACCATTAGGGAAATACAAATTAAAACAACACTGAAATTCTATTTTACTCTAGAAAGATGGCCATTACCAACAAATCAACAAGCACTAGCAAGACTGCAAGGAAAATGAACCCACCTTCATTGCTGGATGCGAAGTAAACGAGCACAAGCTCTATGGAAATCAGCGTGGTGATTCCTCAAAACACTGAAAATAGAAATTCCATTTCACCCAGCTCTTCTCCTTCTGGTATCTTTGTGGAAGACATCATACTACAGTGATCCACGCATACCCATGTTTATAGCAGCACAACCCATAATCACTAAATCTTGGAAGCTGCCTACATGTCCATCCATAGATAAATGCATAAAGAAAATGTAGTATTTATACACAATGGAACACTACTCTGCTATAAAGAAAGATAGCTTGAGTCATTTGTAGAAAAATGGATGCACCTTGAGACCATAATGTTAAGTGAAATAAATCAGACACACAAGCTTACATATTACACAGGGGGAAAGATCTTTTACAGAAGGGAAGAGGACCAAGAGATGGAAGGAGGAGAGGGAAAGGGGATGAAAAAAAGGAAGTGTTGGGAGCAGCTGGAGCTGGAAGCTGGTCCTATGTGTGAGTGCGGGACAGAGCCAGAGCGCCTCAAGCAGTCAAGCTACTCAGTCTTGAGAAAAGCATCCTGCCTGGACAATTACAGTCGTTAGTCGCTAGGCAACGCTGCCTCTTGTGATACTAACTTTTAAGCGTGTAAATAAACACCTCTACTGTGGCTGTGCAGGTCCTCTTACCCATCAGGTATAGAGGTCGCTCTGCCTGACCCAGCTATTTGTCTCCTTTTCTCATACCCGCTGCTGTTCTTCCCCGAGGGACACCAAGAGACTGAGTCCTACAATTAAGATGTGTTATGTACATGTACTGACCCCACATAGTGAATGTAATCATTATGTACTGCAAACACATACCAATGAAAAAAATGTAAAATTAGAAGGGAAAATTATAAAACTCCTGAATATTTATGTCCTCAGATTGCTGCATGAATATTTTCAATTTCCTCTTGTAAAGAAATTAAAATTAGAAGTCATGTTTGCCGGGATGTGGTAGTTAGGCAAGAACAGCAGTGCAGACCTACGCAGAGACAGGCTTCACTGAAGGGCCTTGGCTTCCCTGCGAAGACTGACAGTGGGTGTGCGGGGATTACTCAGTACCAGAAGGGGATTGTGTCCAAGGCCCCCACGGACACCCAAATCCACAGGGGCCCAAATCTTCTAAAATGATGTAGCAGTCACATAAAATCTATGCATTGCCTCCCGTGTGCTTTAAGTAATCTCTAGATCATTTATAATACCTCAATTCAATGGAAATAGTTGCCATATTGTACCGGCTCAGGAATAATGACAAGGAAAAAAGTCTGTGCATTTTCAGTACATGTGAAGTTTATATATATATTCCATCCAAGGTGAGTTGAATCTGTGGATTCAGAAGCCATGAATGTGGAAAGCAGACTGTATATATTTACAGAATATATGTGATTTCCCTCTTTTCTCCGGCTTTTTCCCCTTCTAATTAACTGAGAAGCTCTCTTCAGATCTCATTGGAGATGACTGTTTTTGCTGAATGTTGTTGATAATTTACATACTCTAAAAATGTTCTCAGTGACAACATATGCTTTTTTTTTTGAGCCATATTCTGCTTCTCCATGCTGCTGCATTTGGGGCCAGAAGTCCTGGGTTTTCATGTCTAACGTGATCTGGGAAGAATGAATTCACTTTGACTTCAAATCAGCTCTTTGAATTGGGCTGTCAGCGAGAAAAGCATGTGCTTTGAGAGTCCACAGCCAACTACAGGGCACAAGGTACACTTCTAAAAACTGTGACTCTATCATTGTATCAGCCACAGGATCTGCAGCAAGGTTCCGAGAAGTGTTTAGCTAAGGAGACCTAATTTCATTTATGTCAGAGAGCTATCTTCACTCCCATATTCATTCAGCAGTGTTCATAACAGACAAGGTACGGGATCAACCTACGTGCAAACCAATGGTGGACGCATGAAGAGAATGTATGACATCTATACAATGAACACTATTTAGTCTTAAAAGAGGAGGCAATTTTGTTAGGTGAAATAACATGGATGAACCTGGAAGCTATGGTATTAAGCAAAAGAAGCCAGACTCAGACAAACAGTCTCACTTAAATATGAACAAGCAGAGAACAGAATGGGGGTTACTGCGGGTAGCCAGGGAGGATTGGGAAGATGTTGATCAAGGGAACAAAATTTCAGGTACATGGGAAGAGACCTATTGTACAATGTGATCACTATAGTTCATAATATACTGTATGCTTGAAAGTTGCTAATAGAGTAGCTTTGAAGTGTTCTCACCACAAAAAAGCAAGACAAAGCATACTAATACAACATAGCCATTGCATAACGTATACATATTCCAAACTGTTATGTTGTGCAACATAAATGTGTAATTTATCAATTAATTTTTTTGAATCTAAAACATTAGAAGAAAAAAATGGAGGGTTATTTTCATTCATCTGTATTGTGCGTATTGTGCGGTTGGCGGTGGGGGGGGGAAACCATCCTTCGGCCGCCAGGGGGCGTAGGGCAGAAAGAGGTCAGAGCTGAGGGGCTGAGCCTTCCCTTTGCACCCCTGGGCTGTCAGGACTGCCAAAGAGCACAGAGCAAGCGGCCCATGCCCACCTCAGGGAGCAGCAGTATGGGATACCGGCGCCACAAGGGTTGCATAACTCTAAAGCCTATCTCTGGTTTTTGGCAACGGTAGTAAATACAGTAAAGTTATAAAAATCTCTTTACTCCTTTACATTCTCTTCTACAGAAAAGGAATCTCTGGGCCTCTCTCTCCCTGTGTATATCCCTCGCTCTAGCTCCCTCCCTATCTCTGCGAAGGTGGGAGGAACTCACAGTGCTCCAAGGGTTTTCCTTCTTATGAAAAACACAAGAATAGTATGAAAAGACTTGAACTTGGCTACATTATGCAAATTCAAAGTTCTAAACGTTCTGCCACAGGCAGATTTTCCCACAAGACAGGAAACATAAGCCATCCAAACCCCTCCTGTTTTTTTCCTGACATTTCAGTGGTATTCCTAGAGTAGCTCTAGTAATTGAACAGGACTTTTGCTCTTCAGTATTTTATTAAGTGCTTCAAGCAATAACAGCAGGACAATATTTGCTGTAACTATATCAGGTACCAACTTAATTCTTGCATGAATGTCACTCAGTCACTGAAACTGACATTATGAACACATCATGGAAAAATGCTCTTCAAAAGAGAAAGGTGCATGTTAACCATCAATAGGACAAAACTGTTTTCAAAAGGTAGAGATAGTGGGAGACAGTTCGGTTTACGTGTATGTCCAGGTCAGAGCGCCTCTACGTGTGTGACTCCACCGATGCAAAATAGACGAAGCGCTTCAGGAAGGTCGCCAGCCGCTCACAGGACCTGTATGCGATCAGTCCCCCCTTGTTGGCCCAGCAGTCGACCCCAGTGGCTCCCTTGTTTTCCACATTGTACAGCAGCTCTGGCATGTCTGGCAAACTCCGCCACTGTCCTGCACTATCTTCTAAGCATCCTTTCATGTCCAAGATGCCCCCACCCATGGCCCTCAGTATGGCGTGCGCAGCACAGGTATCCCACTTGAAGGTGGTGTCTTCTGAAAACATGTAAATGTCCACGAGGCCTTGGACAACACAGAGGCTCTTGTAACCAGCCCCAGCTGCCCAGAAGACCTTGCCCCCACACACCTGCGACAATGCGGCTTTGACGGTCTCCTTTTCGCTTGTACTGATGACGGCAGAGGCAGGGTGGGGGCATCCCGCCACAGAGTCTTTTTCAATCCTGCTGCTTTCAGAGATGTCCAACTGGAGGGAATGGATGTTGATCCCCATGTAAGAAAGGCCCCAGTAGCACTCTCCTTTCCACCTGGAGCAGAAAAATTTCAGTTGATGGAGGTGATTCTCAACATTTGGTTTTCATTATTCATATTCCTTTCAAGTTTAATGATATGCAAAAACACATGACTCATTATAACATAATGAGTTTCAGCATTCCTAAGCCTGCAAATAGATCGCAAGTAGTTAATTCATTTCTAAAAGTTACTCATACACATGCAGCTGCCTGCATTATTACAGCATTAGGAATGCTTTCAATTTCATCGCAGGATCACATCAGTCTAGGACAACAGTAAAATACTTCTGGGATTTCCAATCTCCAGAAACTGCAAACTTTTATTACCCCTTTTGGCACTTGAAGTTTAGTAGGAGAAAAGATGACAGACCCATCGATCTCCAGATCTCTTACAGTCTTTACAGCATGTTAGCTTTTGTCACTGGTTAGTCCTTTTTATTCTCTACGCAGTCAGCCCACTTTGGCTTGTGACACCGAAAGAGAGACTCATCATGCTGTTATTTTTGGCATCAGTGACAATAGCAGCACTTTCCATTTATCAGGGTTTAACTTGCCTTCCATGCTGGGTAATTCACTCTATTTGCAGAGGAGGAAACAGAGGCTTAGAAAAAGTAAATAACTTGCTGACGCCCACACAGCTCACGTGCTGTAGGACCTGCATTCACACCCCAAGGTCTCACTCCGAAATCTGTGGCACTGACTGCTTTGTTCCCCACCTCCAGTTCTAGGCCGGGAGTGTGCCTGCACGCTCTCCCAATACTTTTTCATTCCTTACCTTTTAAAGCTGACAGAAGCACATATTTGGTTTGGAAGAAAAAGGCTGAGGTAGAGGAAAAATATCACAATTCCAGAAGTGTACACTTATGTCTGTTAAGGAGCAAACTATTCTGATCCGGAGTAATTCAATATTTGCTAAACATACGTAGCTCTATGTAAGTGGAAAAGGACAACCCATTTCAGTAACAAAAACAAAGTGAAGTGCTGTTTGCACTTGGGCCTGGCGGTGCTGTTTGAGAGCCCATGGGAAGGACAGGAGCAGGAGCAGAAGGAAAGTGGTGCTGTGCTCAGTGTGTACAAGGACAGACAGCCCTAGGGAGGGCTCATCCCAGCCGTACCTACCAATCTTCGCACTGGGCATTTCCCACACTTTGTTTTCAATTTCTTCTAAAATTTTACAGAAGTTCATATATACACTGATGACATCTATCTCGTTCCAAGTGTATCGGAAGGCAGCGCTTGCCTCATGCTGTTAATTCTGTTGTGAGTGGGTTCCGGAAACACAGAACAGGATTGCTATACTGTCCATGTGAAAGAATGAGTTCTGAAGATGCGATCGCTCTTAAACTCCTACCACTGTGCCTGTGGCTCCAAATAAAATTGTGCCGGGGCTGGGGATTTAGCTCAGCGGCAAAGTGCCTGCCTGGCAAGCACAAGGTCGTGAGTTCGGTTCCCGGTACCGGAGAAAAACCAAAAAATAAAAAAATAAAATAAAATTGTGCCAAATCCGGGATTGAAAACATGAAGAACTTTACTTCAAACTTATGGGCTTTTAGAGGGAACCCCCTGACGTATCCAGTCATGGGAATGGCGTGGCCATGGGCAAAGCTGAAGTGCTTAAGTTCTAAAACCTGTGACAGACCAACAGTGTTCAACTTTTACCTGAGAGTGTTTTGGTCTTGGGACACGAAAGGCTGGTTGATGACTCCCATCACAGGCAACCCCGACTGTAGGTCAAAGACGCCAATTAAAATGGTGACACACTGAAGGCCACAGGGGAAAATCCCTTCCTTGGCTTTAACGTCAGTAGCACCTCTGATGTACTGATAGGTTGAATCTGAAAAATGAGGCAAGCACGCAGGTAAAGATTATTTAGAAGATAATGATGAGTAGATCTTGCCTTAGTCTCTTTCCTTGCTGTTCAGACACACTACGAGACACCTGCAAATTAAAGGAGGCGGGACTGATTTGGGGCTCACGGTTTCAGAAGGGTTAGTGCACGTGTGGTTGGCGGCTCCCATGCTGAAATGGCCCTGGGGAGGGACTCAGGAGGAGGAAGGCTGCTCACGGCATGGCGACCAGGAAGCGGAGAGAGGAGGGAGGCGCAGGGAGGAAACTGCACCGGTCCATATTACACCCCAGTGACCAGCCTCTTCTGAGAAGGCCCCACGCCACATGCAGCTGTTGAGCTCATGAGAGGTCAGATCCCCCATGACCCACTCCCTTCCAGAAGCCCTGCCCCTGAACACACAAGCTTTTTAAAGAACGTTCTGGGATTTAACCATAACACATCTCTCCATTTTGTCCTATATAATTTATCTCTGCTACTCCTCTGGTTTTCCCTCTGGATGTGGCTGTATTAAACTGTACTTCGGCCCCTTGTTTTTTTCTCTGGAGCACCTTGTTTCCTTCTCCTGCCTGTATGAGAACTGAAGGGAAGGGACACGCTCATAGTCCCCGTGGCATCCAGCACAGTAACAAACACTCAAATATTTGTCATGTGGCAAAAGGATCTAAAAGCTAACAACTCAGGGATTGCTGCTAAGGGACAGGGGAGCCCCCTGCCTCTGAAACCCTAATTGACGCCAGTGTAGCCTCAAGTGAGGAAAGATTTTGGAAAAGAGTGTTTGTTTCCATTTATAATCTATTGGTGAATGGTAGGTAAAGCTCTGATCATAACTCATTTTCTCCCTTCCTTCCTTCCTTCCTTCCTCCCTCCCTCCTTCCTTCTCTCCCTCCCTTCCTTCCTTTCCTCCTTCTTTTTTTCTCCTTTGTTTTCAAGAAAATGTCTCACTGTTTCCAAGGCTGGTTTTGAACCCCTGGACTCAACTGATTTTCCTGCCTCAGCCTCCCCAATAACTATGACTACAGGTATGCACTGCCGTGCTCAGCTAAAAAATCCTATTTCTGTAATGCTGACGTGTCTGAGAGATGGGCACGTGTGTCAAGGGTGCCTGCTTAGCATAATGACTGGTCTCAATCCTGCTGGGTGGAGTATGTCAGAGAAGGGAAGCCACAGGGGAACTTTTTCTTATTAAAACCTCAGACTACATTAATAGCATCGCAGAGAACATGGACTATTTTTAAACAATGAGCTCTAGATTATGATTCTACCACAATAAGGACAAAAAAATACTAGTAAGTTTTACAGAGGCTCACAAACTCACGGCTCATGACATAAGGCTGTGCCCTACCTGATTCTTCTGTGTTATTTGTTGTTGCCTTATTTAATTGAATTAGTGGTCAATGGTTAAAAACTGGGAGGTCTGACTTACAAATCCTGCATTTTGGTTTACTTTAAAAGTCTGAAGACATGATCAGTATGTCCGTGTCTCAAGGGTCTATTGGAGCTTTTCTATTTGCATGTGTCTCAATGGGTCAGAATCGTATCATTTCACATTCCCATGTACCAGTCTGGCCCCTGAAGTATTTTAAAGATGAGTTAGTTCATCTTTGTGTGTGTGCGCCTGTGTGCACAGATACACACCTGTTATAGATATGTGTGTAAATGTGTGCACACACACAGCTGTAATGTGTCTACACACACAGCCATAACACAACCTCATAACATCTCAAGCCTTATCATTTTGAAACTTTAAAAACTTAAAGTGGAAACTACACTCTCAATAACTTTTATGTTTCCAAGCCAAAAAAGGAAGGAATAAAAGGATCATATGCAAGAACAAATAAACAAAAACAAAAACAGCAAACACAGTCTCCCGCACTCACCTATGGGATCCACCCAAATGCCCAGGTCTTCCTGTGAAATGCTGATGTCTACGGAATCCAGAGCCGGGTCCTTGAAGGCAGCATCCTGATGAACAACCTTGGCCAGTGCTTCAGATGCCGACTTGTTACCACTGAGGACTTTGCTGAGAAGCTCTGCGGTTTCCTCCTCTGTTGCGCACACTTTTATGGTAACCTTTTCCCCTAGAAAAAAGATAAACTAAAAGCCATTGCATTTTAGGAGTTTCAGTGGAGAAAAAAAAACATAAGGGTAGAGGAAAAGAGAGAGAAAGCTACCAAGGAGGAGGTAGTAATAGCCGTGCACTTAGATGATGTGAGGGCAGCCAGGCATGGTGGTGCACTCCTGTAACCCCAGCACCCTGAGAGGCTGAGGTCAGGAGGATCACAAGTTCAAGCCCAGCCTGAGCAGCTTAGTGACTTATGAGACCCTGTCTCAAACTAAAAAATAGGAAGCGCTGGTGAAATAGCTCAGTATGAAGGTCCTGGGTTCAATCTCCAGTACTATAAAAACATAGGTATGTATGTAGACAGACAAACAGACAGACAGACAGACAACAAAAGGATAAAATTAACAGATCCACATCAGTGGCTCCTGGACCTGGCTGACTGGCAGAATCAGCTGGGGAACTTCATCCAGTCACAGACGCCCAATGGACTCATGCCCTCAACTCAAGAGGGATGGTATTTCAGGAACCAAAAGGCCTGCCCCAAGAAAAGTCTCCACATGGATATAATTTTGTATCCCACTTAAGGCGATCCATAAATGAGTGAGAAAAAGCTCTGAACTGTAATCTTTCTTTTTTCCTTTTGATTTCTATTATGCATAAGTTACTCTTTGCACATGAATGTTACTGAAAAGAATGGAGGCTTAATAAGCATGCTGAAGGGCTTCCACCTCCCATGGTCCTGCTTCTAGTTGAAAATTGTTTCTTTTCAGTAAGACAAAGTTTACTGATCTTTAAACATAGTAAAGTTGTCTCATTCAAAATATCACCGATAGGGATAACTTCCCTGCACAACACCCACTAAGAAGCAGGCTGTACGAAAGTTGCTTACAGAGGCCCCAAGGGCTCGACCGCTGAGCTACACCCAGCCCACAACGATGACTCCAAATCAGCAGGAAAATAGTCCCTTTAATTTACTTAAGTTACATCCAAATTAGACAGTTAAAGTTGGGGAAGAATAATCCCAATCACTGACACACACTGAGCACTATTTGGGGCTAGCTAAAAGCCATGGGATCATTCAAATGAGTAGACCATGTCATATTACTCCTTTGCTTAAAACTGGCCAGGGTTTTCCCATCAGCCTTGGAAAAATCCAGTTCCCTGCCTATGATCTGCCCTGCCTTCACTCACCATCCACCCGTCTTTCCACATCCCCTCTGCACGTTTCTTTGCTCTTTAAACAGGAAAATGGATATGGAACGCCCGTTTGTCCCCATATTCTGGATACATGAAGTGTGGAAAAAACTATGATGTAGGCAATGTAGGATTTCAAATGACGACTTCTTGTGAGTTAATTACAGGAGTCATTTTTAACCTTCAGAGCCTCAAGTGAGATTTCTCTCTTACTATCATAGAACTAAGCGCATCTTAACACAGAGCCCATGAAAGACTACAATGTTTTCAGAGTTAGTCCAGAAATTCATCTTTTCTCTTTGGATGCTTCTAGATATTTAACTACTTGTCTCATGACCAATGTTTAATGCTTACTATTTTAGTATTCTACCATTAAACAAAAACCCAAACAAACTAAAAAACAAAATTTGAAGAGAACCAGAGATTATGCTATTTTCCCCCAGAACACAGGACACATGGAGAGCCACTGAAGGAGACTCCACCCACAGGAAACTAAAGAAGACTTAAAACTTGATACCAGGGGGCTGGGGATTTAGCTCAGTGGCACAGCACCCGCCTGGCAAGTGCGAGGTCATGAGTTCGATTCCCGGTACTGGAAAAAAAAAAACAAAAAACTTGATACCAGTCCTGCATGGTGGCCCCTCCTGGAGTCCCAGGTACACAGGAGCTTGGGGTGGGAATACCACATCAGTTCAGGAATTTGAGCCCAGCATGGGTAACACAACGATATCCCACCTCAAAGAAAAGAGTGCCCAAGCAAACAAAAACTTGGTACTAAAAGGAACCCTTCGGCTGGTTTAAGTACCTTTGCAGAAGTTCTGAGACCCAGAGAAATGATAAGGTGACTGGCTCAAGACCACTCAGTATGTCAGGGCCAGAGCCTCTTCTACAGTCTTAGCTGAGAGTATGGGCCCCCGGGGCTGCCACAAGTGGGCTTACACCAAGGACCTGAAATGCTCCATATCACCGTGCATCAACTGGGGACATCCGGAACACCAACGAGATTCCCAATGGGCCACACAACTTTCCCAAAGGTTAGTTGATAAATTATTGAAATGATACACATTTCCACTTTAAAATGATGCATGGACTTGCTGGATTACTCTAAGGGACTGTATCTTTATCTTAAATGGCACGATATTCCGACGGATAAAATTTAACATTCAGCTGTATTATGTTGCCTACATTGAAAGGCTTTCACATATCCATTTATTTCACGGTGTAAGTTGGAGATCAGAATACCACAAGAAAATTAAGTTACAAAAACATATTAAGATGCTTATACTTACCCAAATTGTTAGTAAACTCATTGGATTCTTCTCCGAAAATTTTATTTTCCAAGCCTGGAAACTGAATGATTCAGAATGTGACAAAACCCAAAATAACAACAAAACCCCCCCACACGCTTTCAATTCTGAACATATTTTCATGTTAAATTTCAAGTTAAATTGCACAATTCAGAAATTCAGGAATTTGTAATTTTAGAAACCAATCCACACATGAAAAATGAAGCCAGCTTGGTTCAGTGTTTAGTTTTTTAATGTTTTCCTGTTCCTTTGCCCCTCAGAAAGTCTAAATCATGATAAAGGTCTTGTTTTCTTATTCGTCTTCCTTGAATAAGGACCACAGAACTACAATGTCTGCAAAGGGAACATTTCAACCCTTGCTCTTAAATAGCACTCAAATGGCTCACATAAAGCAGTATTGTAGATCAAGGACCTAAAATTATTATTAAGACTGGAGAGAGGAAATGAGAGATAGCATTAGATTTTGTCTGCATTTCCAAGTGGGTTTCTGTAACCATCAGACTTACAATAGCTTTCAGGCTAGCAAGGTAACACTGAAAAAAAAAAAAAAGTAAAGGGTACTATTTACTGACCAACACTTTGTACTTCAATATCAAGTGAACAAACAAAGTCAAGTATGACCCACTTCTCATCTCTGTATGATCGGAAAGCTTTCTTTTGACGCATATTGCTTCTGACATTCAATAGTAAAGACAGTGTTTCTCAAAATACTTGTCGAATTATGATATGCATGTTCTCAGGGAATAAAAACAAGGAAATGCTTCAAATACTGTAACTCCATCTTCTGTAGACGGTCAGAAGCTTTAATAATGCCCACAATCACTTGTTTTTTTCTCTTTCTCTTTTGCCAGACAACACAAGCCTGCAAGAGCTGCAACCAACTTATTCATCAAGGACTAAAGCTTTGTCTCCTAAGCCTGCTTAGAGATCTGTTTCTGAGGATACTACGGTATCAAACAAAAATGATCTATGTAGTTGAAGTGGAATAACAGTACATAAGTTCTGGTTTTTACTTCATGAAGGATCCATTGCCTGAACTTGTTACAATGCTTTGGAGTGAATATATTAGCCCACAGAAATGAACGTGAATACATATCTAATCCGGTTGCTCAGCTGTACACTGCACCCGACCATCTTGATCGGTACCAAACAAAATAAACTTTCTTCCTGGGCTCATTTATTCTCTTCTCCTACCTGCGGCTAACATTTACATACATGATTCTCCAAATTAGACTTTCACAAGATATATTTTATTTTATGTATGTCCACTATTTTATAATGTTTTCTGTCATATGGTGCTGTCTTCCGAAATATGGAAACATGTTTGGATTATCATCTGCAAGGCAATCTAGTATCGCAAATAACAGTGTCTGGAGCCCGCTTGCTTGTGTTCAAAAACTTGCCTGGCCACTCATTTGCTGTGTAATATTAGGCAAGTTAGCTAAATTTTCCATACCTTTTAAAAAAAATCCATTACATTAAACAAGGGTTCTTCTCTCATGAAATTGTTCTAAAATTAAATAAGCTAATATATTTAAAGCTTAGAGCAGCGAGCATTTGTGTCTGCTAATATTACCATTATTATTAATACTACTTATGAGCATCTTCCTCTAATTAGCTCCAGACACTTAGAGCTACCATCACTGCTAGTTATGACAATGTTTTTCTAGTAGAATAAACGGAACCTTTATCTAGGTACAAGCCCATAACCAAGGCAAATATTAGATAAATGATTAAGTCCAAAAGATAAGACTTAACTACATCAAGTTCAAAAATTAAAAAGGGTATGAAACAGTGCTCATTTCTGTTGAAATAAATCATATGGGTCATGTACACACAGACACATAGAAAGAAAATATTCTAATAATATCTAGCAGAATGCAGCTGTCGTTTGCTCTATGGGGTGGGGTTAAGAGGATTCTTAATTGTGCTTATGTCCCACAGATATGTATTGTTTATTAAGGTGGAACTCATTAATAAATAAGTGATTTTTAATGAATCCCAATAAGTGAAAGGTTCTATAAAGAGCGTTCATCTCTAGGTGCTAGAATTGTGAGTCTTGTTTTCTTTTCTGTACTTTAAAGGTTTTCTGCAGTGAATATTTCACTAACTTTGCAATCACAAGAAGGGTGTGTATGTGAGACCCAGTCGGAGGGAAGTCAAAGTTATGCCATTCCACAGAGGGAAAGCCCACAGAGGCAAACACTCTACAGCCACACGCTGTGGCCTTTACCTTGTTCCCCATAGTCTGTTTTATAACTTCCTGCACCAGTACATCCGCCAGCGTCTTGAAATCGACCGCGAACTTCTGGTTCTTCTCTCCATCTTTCTTCTCTTCGATGAGCAGCTGGAACAGGGCCTCCTCCTGCCGGCACGCCCGGGCGATGTTGGCTGCGTTCTCGGAGACACGGACCAGCTCCCGAAGGATCTCGGACATCCTGAGCCTCGCGTTTCAGCAGCGGCTGCTGGGGAAGCGGCACCCACCCTGCGGGGCAAGAGGCTGAGAATGTGAAAGAGAAAGCACGTCAGAGAGGGATGTCAGGGGCCCTGACCACCAGAACCCCATCCACCCAGCAGCCAAGCTGGTCAGCAGCTGCAAGACCCCCAGCCACACCCTGCACGTGGACCGTGCAAACAGAAAGAAGCTAACGTCAGGAAAAAACATTTGCACTGTTAGAAAACCACAAGGCAAAGAACTGAACAATCAGAGAAAGAAAAAAATCTTTGGAGGACAATCTCTTACACACAGATCCCTAGACAGGGGAACACAGCACAGTGTGAAAGTAAAGTTGGATTTTTTTTACAATGATCTTAAAATAATTGTGCCCTTGAAATGATCACACAGGTATAGAAGTGCTCATTTGCCCCTTCACCCAGTGAGGAGCAGAAGTGGAGAGATTTATGTTCTCAGTTCCAGGGCAACTTTCTCAGCAGCAAGCAGGTAGCAAGCTCTGTTGAATCCTGCATTCTGAGGCCACTCTGAGTTCAGCAGAAGCTACTTTCCAGCCAACATGCTCTTATCCCTCTAAGAGAAGAAACCTTCAATCTATGGGTTTCTCCACAATTAGTAAAATGGAGTGGAATACACAACCTTTTGGGAGTTGGAAAATTCTGGCTTCTAACTGTGTTATGCTATATGGCATAACTGGTATAATCTACTGGGCCTATCTTATAATCTACTGGTCCTATCTTATAATCTACTGGGCCTATCTTATAATTAGGAAACATTTTTCACTTTTTAATAGTACCCACTTCTTATTAAAAGCTTGAAAGCTGGGCATGGTGGAACAAGTCTGTAACCCCAGCGCTCTGGGAGGCTGAGGCAGGAAGAGTGCAAGTTTAAACCTAGATCAGGCAATTTTGCAAGATCCTGTCTCAAAATAAAAAAGAGCTGGGGATTTAGCTCAGTGAAATGGCCATGGGTTCAATCCCCAGTAAGGGAGGAAAAAAGAACAAGGCTATAAACCACTGGGCTCCGAACCAGTCATTCACAGACACTTGGACACTTTATCACCATGAGATAAGTCCCTTCATGAAAGAAGTTGCCTGAATGGACTTTAAGAGACTGAAAATTAGAACATCTATGAAGATCTGGATCCAGAAGGGTTGCGTGTGAATTGTTATAGTGGGTATCTTAAGTTTGCTAAAAGATATGTCCTCCTAGGGTTCTGGGTCAGTTACCATGAGGTCACATAGGATGGATGTCTAACCTTGATAGTAATAAAAGGAAAGTGAATAAAACAACAAGATATCCTCTTTAGCAGTTATAGATGTTTTAAAGTTAACATTCATCCTGGAAGGTGCCTGGCAGGTAGGTACTGACCCTCTGCTAAGGGACAAGTGACAAAAGTGTATCAAATCCCTACAGTTGATAGTGAGTTTTAGTAACTCGACTTCCCTTAATCTGTGTTAAGGGAATCAGAGCTGAGTTAAAATATTTCTGCAAAAGATAGATAATATTTACTTTACAGTAGCAAAAACTTGAAAATAACCTTAAAATGGTAAAAGTAGAATAGAATACTATAAGGTCAGCACAATCATGTTTTTTGAAGAATACTTAATAATATGGAAAAGCGCTAATGGTATGTCAAGTGGAAAACAACCTACGGCCATACATAGAATGACAATGCTATTATTTTGTGTTTATACAGAAAGAGAAAGTGACAAAAGAGAAATTAGTGGGTAATATTTTGCAAGTTTTTTTCTAAGTAGTGAAAATGTGAATGACTTTTTTGAATGACAGTAGGTCTTTTATGATTTTCAAATATTCTAAGTAAATATATAGTGCACTTATAATAAGAAATGTTGTTTTACAATATCTTAGGGCAAACAACCAAACAAAATGGGATTATGGGAATAAACATAAAAACCTTCCAGGCAGCAGAGAGGATGGAGTAAAAAACTTGTGCCTACCTTCAAATGCCTTTTCTTTCAGGAATAAATAAGTCAGAAGATTCACTTGACTTGGAAAGGAAAACAGTTGCATTAGTAGGTTATTTTGACGAAATAATTTGTGACCATATGTGACATGTAAGTGGCACAAATTATAAGCTATGTATAAAATACACACAGTTGTATACATACCATACATACAAGCCCAAGACTACAAATTTAATGACCACAGTTTTCACTTTTTAAAAATATTTCACAGTTATAAGTGAAGGGAAAAGAATCAATGAGCCAACAGTATTTAAATTGCTTTTTGTCTTAAATAAGGAGTGCAAAGATGTTAAGGAGTTCAATTTAAAAGCTCTCCAACAATACCAGTATTGCCTATTAGAGTCAGCTTGGTTAAAACCAATTAATTTTTTCTGAAAAGTGACAGCATACAACTGCACTGTTGGGTACCGCAGGTGAGTTTCTCCCAGTTGCCCCAGGGACCGGGAGCTCCTCTTCTTTGGACCTGACCTTCACTCACATCCTCCATGAGGACCACTTTCCCTACCCGCGCCTGGCTGCTCAGCAACCCGACCCATGGGAAACAGCTTTCAGCCATCAACACCCCTGGCACATAGATTTTAGAGACGCACAGCACAGAAGGGCATCCAAAGCTATCCCCAACTGCAACCTCCATCGCTCCTTGCTCATCCCGAGCCATCACTGTTACATTTTGCCAGACTCCAGGTGGAGTTACCCAGTTTCTGGTTAACGCTACACTTTCTCCCACCACCCAGCGCTTCCCCAGCTAGTTCTCTTTCACACCAGGGCCCCAGATTTCTAAAATATTGTCCAGCCTACAGATGAGACTAATTAATTCACAGCCAGGTGGGCACGCTGTCAGATACCTGTAATTTCAGCACTCTGGGAAGATAAGGTAGAAGGACTGCAAGTTTGAGCCCAACCTGGGTAACTCAGTCATTTAGCAAGACCCTACTTTAAAATAAAAAATAGAAAGGGGCTGGGATGTAGCTTAGTATAAGAGTCCTGGGTTCAAGCCTATGTACCGGACGAGGGGGAAAAACTAATTTGCAGTGAACCTACTACTTTTTGGTTGAATAGACCATTCCTTCCAAACAAATCGGATCATCGTACTGTTATCTGTGTAAGTTGCTTCCTCCTGCCTATCTGTCCACTCAGGTCCTGCAGCCATACCACAGCCCGGCGGGGAGCTCTGGACTATCCACCCTCACCCTGACCCAGCTTGTCCACAGAGAAGCTGCGGGCTCCATCCAATACAGAATGACATCAGTTTCAGTACTTCTTATTAACACTCATGGAAAATATCTTTCAGAGGATTCTTAAAGCAAGCTTGCACACCCATCATTGCACTTGCACACTTAAATGCCCATCATTTCAGAGGGAGCTGGTGACACCTCTTAGGTACAGTGGTTCTGCTATCAGCTATTCATGTGCCCAGGAGGTCAAAGGTAGTTTAAGTTAAACATACTTTACAGTATGTCATTTACCATAATTCAGCGGTCTTGCCTATAGAAAAAAATTCCTGTCGATCGTTTTCTTAAAAGGTGTTCTGAGAACCACCTGTATCAGAATTACCCCAGGTACCAACTAAAAAGACGGATTTCTTGGCCCCACCACAATTTAGTACATCAGACTCTTGGGACAGAGCTACGAATCTGTACTTTTGCCAGCATCCCTGAAGGCTTTCAGTGCCGAGATTTAATAGCGACTGTTCTCCATGCTGCACACTCTTCTTTACCACCTTGTTTGCAGTTACAGGGGCGTCTGGTGCCCACTGGCTGGTCTCCTGGTGGAATCTTAAAGGTCCAATGGTTGTATTCTTAGGTATTCACATGTAGGGACAGACTAATGTAGAAACAGTAATAGCTAACGTTTCCTGGGTGTTAACTACACGTCAGGCATCTTCTAAATGCTTTTCATCTATGAGTTCATTTAATTCTCACACAGCCCTGTGAAGTAGATGTTCTCACCTCCATTTTACAGGTCAAGAAATTGAGGACCAAGATGGCTGAGTAATTTACCCAAAATCACACAGCTACTATTGTTAGTAGCCACATAAAATTCAAGGCCTAGCAAGTGGACAGAAATCTACACTGTTAGCCAGTACTCAGGCCAACAAAAAAAAATTTTCCTGTAAATTGTTGCTGTTAAAGGGAAGACATCAGTGGTTGGATAATAACATTGTAATACACACTATATAACAAAAATAAACACAACCAGCTGACACCTGTTGCCCTTCTGAGCATTCATTATAAATCACTCTTCAACACCTGACTTCTTTTATTCTCAACAAGGAAAATCCTTTTTTGTAGCTGATCCTCAGACCCACTGTAAAGTACCCTGCTGGGGAGTAAAACTTCACCCATCAGCTTCCACTGATGTAAGAACCTATTTCCAGCCACATTTCAGGGGCCTTAAAGGCGTTCCACTCCTCATTGCCTCAGACGTAATGTAGATCTGTACATTAACAACACTGTATCATAATGTCAGATAGAATCAGGAGCTTTTCAGCTTTTATGTGATTCTCAATTCTAGCTGGAGAAATATTTTTAAAAACTTGAAGCAGATGAGAAAAAACTAACCTCTCTACAAAGAACTAAAGTTTAGCCATTCATTGATCATCTCAGATCAGTGGTGGTTTAAAAATTATATTTAAGGCTGGAGGTATAGCTAGCTCAGTAAGGCCTTGCGTTTGAGAAAGAGAGAGACAGAGATAGAAATCTGAATAGTTTACCCATATTTTGGAGGTGATAAACAATATAGTGGGAAAGACATAGCCTTTGGAATCTAATAGCCCTAAGTTCAAACCCTAGTTCTAACATTCCCTAGCTGTGCACCAAGTAGTCTACTTAGCCTCTCTGGCCTCTCAGCTGTAATATGAGGGTCATGCTTACCTTGCAGTGATGTCATGAAGATCAAATGAGACCTCACTAGGCAAGTACCCAGCACAGAGCCCTGCACACAGTCAGTAATAAGTGGCAACCTCGCAGAAACCACCACGATCGCATGTCTTTGCTTGAGAAATCAGAGGTTGGCAAGTTTATAGGGGTCACGGAAATATTTTCTGAAAATTTACTACTCCATTAAATCCAAAAGCCTGGGAACACCTTGTGGTTCTCTGAATAACCCAGAACAAAGTCCCTTTATGTAGGCCAGATCTGACTGCCGCAGTTTGGGATGGAAACTCTGACTCCCAGAGGCTGGGACACTACTCTGGCTTCATGGCAGACCATCTGCAGAGGTTTGGGCACACATGTCTGTCAAGGGGACATTTTACCGGAGATTTTCTGTGGATTCCAGGACCCTGGGGTCCTAGAAGAGCCTGCGTGAACCAGAAGCTGGCTGTGCCCGTCCACTGTCCACAGGGACAGAAGGGTGAGGACAGAGATAAGGACTCTCAGCCAGACTGCTCTCGAGTGAATGGCAAGTGAGTCAAGTCCCTTCCCTTGACCACCCGCCTTCCGGCAGAGACTCCGATACTTCTGCAGAGCCCACATTTTTGGCCCGTTATACACTGATTCCACCGTTACATCCTGATTCCACTGACTCCCACCCAACCCAGCACTCAGACCCTCAATCCAGTCAGCCACAAGTCCTCTGAGGAATGCCAGTTTGAAGCCATTGGGTGGTGGCCCTGCCAGACAGGGTGGCTGCCGGGGAGAAAAGCTGGCTTCCGTGAAGTACACTGGTGATTTCCAAGAAAGTGACTGCCATGACCTTTCTCACGGGGGTCCAGCTGTCCAGGAGTCCCCATCATGGACACATGCTGAGGTGTGACCAAGGCTCCATTCGGCTCACATTCCTGTTAGAGGGGAAACACACTTTGTCCCATCTCGCCTTTGTTCCACACTCAGGGCCGCCTCGGAGAGTGGAGGTTAGAAGCTGTCCTGGCAGAAGGGACAGGGAACCGAGCGCTATGCACACCTGCCAAAGTATAGTAGCTGATTTCCCACTTCCTGTACATTTACTCTCATGCTTCGGGAATTCTACACACTCACAAACGCTGTTCCCACTGGTCAGGGACTTTCCTCTTGCCGTCTCTACCACTCATCTTCTCAGACTCAATCCAAGGCCAAGTAACTTAAAAAAATAATTACCCAAGTGGCCAATACACATATGAAAAGGTAAGCTCCTTTATTAGGAATCAGGAAATGCAACTTCCAATCTTAACAGGATACTGCTACATTCCCAGTGGAGTAGCTAAAATTGAAAAAGACTAAAACTTTCAAGGTTGGGTTAAAATACAGAGCAGTGGGAACTCCCACACAGTGCTGGCTTGAATGAAATCGGTGCAACCATTGTGGAAAGCCACCTGTAATTTGCTGACTGTAAGCATCATCTATGATAGCAATTTTCCTTGAACCTACATACCCTACAGAAATTCATGCATTTGTGGATTAGGAGACATGCTCCAGAGTATTTAAGAGCAACATTATACGTAATCTAACACTGGTAATAACCCACGTAATTATCAATAATAAACTAAACAGAAGCATACTCACATGGCTGAGAAAATGAACAAACTCCTGCAATAGGCAACGATATGGCCACATCTCACAGAAACGGTGTCCAGTGAAGAAACCACATGTGAAAGATATAGTGCGCTATTTGATTTACTCCAAGTTCAAACACAGGCAAAACTAACCTGTGGTGTTAAGAGTCACACTGGTGGCTGCCTTTGTCAAACAAGGAGGAGTCGGGTGGGGAGGCTGTAAAGGGCTCTTCTCCGCAGTTGTAATGTGTTGAACCTGAGTAATGGCCGGTGACATGGGTGGGCTGACTTTGAGCAGATTCATTAAGCTACGCACTGAGAAATTCCACACTCCTGTGTATGCATTTTTAATAAAAGGTGTATGTGTGGAAAAAGGAGATTCAGCTCAACTCTTAGCTCCTCCATGTGAGTCTTTCATGACCGCTCGCCCATGGGTGAACAGGGACAGGTAAATCTCCATCTCCACCCTCAATACACTGTCCATCGGTTTATTTGTGTGTGCTGTCTGGCAAGAGATTTCAGTGTGTGGTTTCTTCTGAGTCTCAGCACATACTTGAGAAGTGTTCAATAAATGTTGGCTAATGACTTTGCTCTTATCTTTGTAAATACAGAATTCATCCTTGTCACCGTGTTTATTGTACTTCTATTTTATCGGCATTACCCAGGTGCTATTAGGCACATGGGCCCGTATTTGTTTATATAAAAGTCTATGTACATTCTACATTCATTTACAAAAATGAACCACAGCTATATCTGGATGACTAGCAACTGAACTACATTTTTGCAGCACCAAACCAGAATCTGAAGTCATACTCTATCCTTGACAAGATTAGCTAATGAAATCACCAAAAATAGTAAATTTGACTTGGTTTTGTTAAAAAAAAAAAAAAAAGACATGCATTATGGGATAGGCACATCCATCTATTTACAGATAACATTTCTCACTTCCTGCTTTGTGACCCTCAAATAATGCTGACAAGCACGCCATTCATAAGCGGGTCTCACGCTGGCCCTGCGGAGGCCCCTAACGGACCACATTAGCCTACATTTCTGCTCACTGATGCCCAAAGCAACAGGCCACAAAGATAATCACTGTTCTGGTAGCTTGTCAATGGGAGCCTGTGCTAACGCCATGTTTTCCAAATTAGTCAAATCAAGAATTAATTGAAACACGTTAAAAATACAGATGTTGCACGGGCCAGGCTCAACCTTATGATTTCCCTGTCTCACTTCCCAGAGTGCTGGGATTGCAGCCATGCACTACCACACCCACCGTAAACTTTCCTGTTTTTTTATTTTTTATTTTTTATCTAGTCCCCATATGAAAAAAGGTGGAGATGCCGGGCGTGGTGGTGCATGCCTGTAATCCCAGCACTTGGGACGCTGAGGCAAGAGGAG